CTCTAGTCTTACACTGCTAATTTAAGTACGGCTAGCGCAGATAGCCCTCGTGTAGCTTTGCGCGAAATTCAAAAAACAAACAAACAAACCAATGCTAGACGGAAGATACAAATTTCCTGACATTTTTTTTCTAATGTCAATAACCGTTACAGAATACAAAGATAACGTTCGTGCACTTGAGATGCTCGTGTAGCTTTGCGCGAAATTCAAAAACAAACAAACACTTGAGATGACATAGCACTGCTATGAGATTGTAAAATTTACAGAATAGTACAGTACTGAAAGAAGAAAATAAGAATGTGATATGCTATATAGAAAGATGTTACAATAAGAGAATTTAGGACATTGCGACTTATATGGAGGAATATTTAAGGTTGCATAACACTATTCAACACTAGATGTACTTCCGCAGAGTCTCCGAAATTCTGTTTCAAGAGAAAATAGAGCCCAAATTAAGAGTAACAAATATACTTATTTCTTTTCTTGCTTTTCAAGTTCATATGTCATGATGTGTTGTAGCCTACAGAGTGCATAATTCTTCTTGTAATTCATGGCATGCGCAATGTTTACTAACGTCACGACAGAACAAATTGCAACGTTAAACGTCCGTTATATTTTTTTTTCAGTTGTGATTCAGAGAGATTAATGAACTCGGGCATAGTTGAGCGAAAAGCCAAGTCACACTGGTTTTATTATTTCTTTACATGTAGGTCAAAACGTAAACAATCAATGTTTGTTTTGTTTCCTACGTTATACTAAATGAAGATAATGTTTACGGAGATTTATTGCACTTCGTAAGATCGACGTTCCAGGCTCCATGTTACCCTTGGCACCATTTACTCCATTGTCGATCGTGCTCTGTTTGACTGTTTTGATTATTCGCTATTACTCCATGCCACAGTTTCTATTGTAATAAGCTTCTGAGAAGGATGACGAGGTCTGTTTTAAACCATATATCTCGACAAACGTTTTATTAAACATTCGATGTACGTAAACTCCGCCTTCCAACATCATGTTTAAGATGACCAAAGGCACGAAGTCCTTGGACTTCTAGTAAAGATGGTAATAATATGTAAATCTATATTTCTGGAATGTTTTGACCAACAAATACAATGCTATAATTCCAATTTTAAATTTAACTCACACCTCACAATTATACATGTATTTTTAGAACGTATTACAATTTGTATTTCTTTTGTTATAGCCTACACTGTAATTTAACGAACTCACGAATTTTTATAAATATGACTTTTGCACAGCATTATAGTTACTTCAGAGTTAGTCAAACGACCAAAAATCTTTCATTAAACCTACTCACGTTCTTAATTCTCTTTCATCTCAACAGAGAGATATCTGGTTTCTCGGATTTTTTTAAAATTACAAACAGTAGTTCAGAATAATACATACTACATGAATTATCTTAATATTATTGAAAGCAAGAATAGGGCAGAATAATATATGATAAGTAAAAAAAAAAAACTAAGCGAAGTTCCAGACAAACGACCTTCACCATATGAACAGTTCTCTCTTTCTCTCTCTTGTAGTATCAGATTTCATTCTTTGTTTTCCTATCAGAATTCTGAGTAAATTGAACGTTTAGTTAAACTTGCAATTTTGTTCTTCATATTCGAAGAAGCAAAGTTAATCTTATATGAATGGAAGCAAAATCGTTAAACAAATTCAAGTACTTTGAGATGTTTATCTAAACATTGGTTCAATAACGCGAGTACAGAATACGGCATTAATGAATTAAATTGAGGCCTAGTGTATCGCAAATAAATCAGTCGTCTAACGCTGATTCATGTAAGTGAATATACGTATAAGTTAAGCGTCTTTTGCCGTATTATTTGTATTGCTATGCGATTTCCAAGTTTAAAAAGATTGTTTAACGAAACTGGTCATTAGTCTTTTCATCAAACCAACATACCTATGTAGGATATCATAATGTGGTAATAAAACAGAGTAAATATTCTTAACATCACATTGGCATGTATAAAGAAGAACAGGCGTATTTGGAAAGATTGAAAGTTCTTTATATGGATCGTATTTAAAAGACGCCACTGTTGTTTAAATATACGGCTAAAAGTAGTTCACCTAAATTTGATTAACCGAGGCGGTTCAATACATTGCATGTGAACGTGTGTGCATAAGTAGGACGCCGTGCTCAAGCCAGAGCTTGAATAATTTTCAACTCTCGCTCTTCGTGAAAGCACAGAGAAGAAAACTATCTCGCATCCTCTATTTGATTTATCAACAAACATGTTATATATATATTTAATATCTTGTTATATGAACTTATTAGTCTTGTCAATAATTCCTTTTTTGTGTGCATAAACTTGCGTAAAATACATATGAATTACATTGTCACCTTGTGATATATATACACACACGTCAAAAATAAAGTTGAAATGTAATAGTTAATCGTAACATATAAGATGAACTTACTTCATGACATAATCTAACTCAAATATCAGTATTTACATTAAAATAAAATTAAATCGCAATAAATTTCTACTCGTTCAATTACTACTATCACTCTCATTCATACAGCCAAAGTTTGGATAAGTAGTTGTCGGATGATTATTTTCAGATTTGAAAATTAGAACAAATGAAACATACCTCATCGCCTTCAAAAGTCTTCAGTTATTGTTATCCCTGTTCAGAGCTTACAGTGTAATAAAGGACAACCACATCGATGACGTCTACCGTATATTCAATCGTATGTAATTGTTTCTCTTTTCGAAGAACGATTGATCTTTTTAATGATCAATAGCTATGAAACGAAGATCACAAACTTACGTGTATAAAACCATAGAAAAATATAGGAGTTGTTAACATTTATGATCCAAGGGTAAAATCTTTTGACTTGGATCCTGTGATGTTGTTCGGGGTTTTGACAGGTATGTTGGATTATGTGATGTTGTTCGGGGTTTTGACAGGTATGTTGGATTATCTCCGCACTTTGGTGCAACAATGACAAAAGTCGCTACTAAAATGAAAACGTTGTTAATATGAGAGCTACTATAACCACGTGACTTGATGTGCTAATGAGATCAATATGCACGTGTTCTTCATTATTTTTGCTAGAAAATTTTTTTAATTCCGTCATAATAAGCGACTGTATGTAAGCTGTGATTGGTGTAATGCGTAACCTACTTGTAGCTTATTGGTTGGAGACTAAGAACCATTGCGAAATCTTTGTATGCTAAACCAATGTGCAACTAACATATTGGGCGAGGACTTTAGCTTGGCTTTTTTTTTTTTCATTTATTCTGTTAATTTTTGCCCTAAATTATTTCATCCACCAGGTTTACAATAATAGAACGTCGGTGACCTTACTATCTAGATAGTTCCGCGCCTCGTGTACGCCGTAGGGCGAGGAACATCTTTGTTGTTGACATGAATGTTGGCTGTCGTGTTCGTATGAGAAGACAGCTGGCATAAGATCAACGAGACAGTTTTTTAAACCAGTTTCAATGCTTAGTAAAAAAAAACCGATGTAACGAATTATTGGAAGAGAAAATTGAGTAATTTGGCTCTTCACATATTATATTTTATGTATTTGGAACGCAACCATGTTTCTTTTGTAGGTATAGGGACAACGTTGTTTAATTTTACATTTATTCATCGACACATTTATTACGCTATCTACTATAATATTAGCTTATTCAGCGCCGGCGCATCAAGTATTCAATCGCAGTCCTAGTGGCACGTTTATGCACAAACCTAAAAATACGATGTTTAGTCACATAAATGATTTTCCCTATTGTATTTTAATATACGTATCCAAATTTGAGGTATCATTTGTATTGGTTCAAGCTCAAATACAATTATAATTATTCCATTCGTTTCATTGACCCTTGCAATTACGGAAAGCTACTTATTAAAATAGTAATTGATTGATACATTTTTGTTTCGTTCATTAAATCTAATGTTCTAGATGTTTCATTCAGAGTATTTCTTGAAAAAGGCTGGCATCACCAATGTAAATATTAATACGTAATTTATCTCTATATTTTCCACGGTTCTGCTGAATAAGCACGAAAGCCGAGTCATTACCACCATAAATTCCTATTTTTGGAAATATTTCAGCATAATAAACGTATCAGCGGCTGACTTGAACAATTAAACAAAATTATGTTTATATAAATATAGTTTTATTGATTTCTATAATTAAGAAGTTGTCGTTAGAGATACGTCATGGTATAATCAACCTGAAATCGTTTCGTTAAAATATATGGATTTTGTTTTTTGTAACACAATTTAACTAGGTTAGAAAGTTAAAATATTTTACCAAAAAATTTCAAAACCTGCACACGTCTCTTGGTTTTTATCCATCACTGTGATTGGTTCTATTAGCAATGACGTCATAAAATAATCTAAAGAGCTTAAACGAGGTTTTTGGGAAATGATGGAAAGATCTTCAAAATATCTTCTTCAGTAGTTAGAAGATATCTAGTGACTTCAATTCGTTCATTTCTATCATCAAAATGGCTGTTTAAATCACTCTTTTACAACACTAAATGTGGTTAGGGCGCTAGACTCGCAATCTGTGGGGTCGCGGTTTCGAATCCCCGTCAACGAACCTGCTTTCACTTTCACCCGTTGGGGCATTATAATGTTATGGTCTATCCCACTATTCGCTGGCAAAAGAGTAGCTCAAAAGTTAGCGGTGAGTGGTGTTGACTAGCTTCCTTCTTTCTAGTCTATCACCGCTAAATTTGGAACTGCTAGCGCAGATAGCCCTCGTGTAGCTTTGCGCGAAATTCAAAGCATACCAAACATACATACAATAACATATTTAGTTAAACGGGATATGTTAACATAGATTAGTGTTTAAATTTCTAAAACATATTTTTGTATTTGTTAACGTCTTTATTGTTGAAGTATCTTAACTTCCAAACCATCTCACGTAAAAGAATGTAACAAATTCGCTGTATTCGAAATCTGGTAACTTCATTCTTAAATCCCAATCCGAACAAAGAAACAAGAAAGTCCGCTGTATCCACATACCTGTGGCCGCGGGCGTTTGAAACTACCGTTCCGCATGTGAGATAGAAATAGGTATTCCTTTACAGTTTAACTGGAGCAAAACTAATCCAACGTCTCGTCCCTGTCGTCGCTAGTTTGTTCCCTTCAATATATAATTTGGTAGCCTTATATTCGGGCTTCTGCCATTTGTAGCTTTCAGAGGTTTGCCCAACCATGCATAACAATTGGTGTTTACCCGTTATGTTTTGTTGCTGATCTCAAGTTGATGTTATTTCTGTTTTTAATAGCTTCTTGTTTCACGTTCTTAACCAGATTCTGTCACTGACCCATTTTTAATGCATCGTTTGTTGATCTGCAGACAACTAGTTTAAGTGTCAAGGTAGAACAAGAATCTTCAATATCTCAACATTGATAAGACTGACAGAGATATCAGTACCACGATTCCCTCGTTTAGAAAACATCACTAACATTCCATTTCCTAGTACGTGTCACCTGGTGGCTTAATTTAATATTATGATTTCCATCTAGATTAAGTAAGTCTCAGTTTAGTAGTTGTGCATGAAAGTTTTTTATTTTTTTACATTAATATGTGTCAATTAAAGTGTATATCCTTAAAGTGGGTCAATTATTTGTTTTTTTTTAGACACTTCATATTTGAATTATATACACGCGTAGGCTGTCGGGAACAAACTGTGAGCAACAATGAGCCGTTTCTCGAATAAAACTGTGAAATTCTAGTTTCACACTTGTAAAAATAAACTCATTCATTTATGTAAAGTGTACGAAGAGCAACTACTGTGCTTGCATTATGCGAGCCATGTAAATTTAAAAACAATATTGTAATACACTCATTCATTTATGTAAAGTGTACGAAGAGCAACTACTGTGCTTGCATTATGCGAGCCAAGTAAATTTAAAAACAATATTGTGATACATGCACGTTCTATATAGACGACTGTGTAAGTTTGTAAATATTTCTGCCTATTTCTAGGTTTATTTACTGGATAACATGTAAACCTTTGTAATCTCTACAAGCTTTAAAATTCTATAAAAACGTTACTTTTATTAACTAAAGGAGTCTGAAGGGTTTTAAATAAACCTAAGTGAGAGTAAAGATTAAGGGGAACACATTTTGCTTTTATTTTGACATATTAAGGCTAGCTTATTAAGAACAATATAGATCTTTTTGTTTTCATATATTAAGGCTAGCTTATTAAGAACAATATAGATCTTTTTGTTTTCATATATTAAGGCTAGCTTATTAAGAACAATATAGATCCTTTTGTTTGGACATATTAAGGCTAGCTTATTAAGAACAATATAGATCCTTTTGTTTGGACATATTAAGACTAGCTTCTTAAGAACAATACAGATCCTTTTGTTTGGACATATTAAGGCTAGCTTATTAAGAACAATATAGATCCTTTTGTTTGGACATATTAAGGCTAGCTTATTAAGAACAATATAGATCCTTTTGTTTGGACATATTAAGGCTAGCTTCTTCAGAACAATATAGATCTTTTGTTTTGACAAATTAAGGCTAGCATCTTAAGAACAATATAGATTTTTTGTTTTCATATATTAAGGCTAGCTTCTTAACAACAATATAGATATTCGTCTAATATACAATAATATCGCTATCAACTAAATCAACCGGAGGAAAAAGCAAGCACAAAAGATAAACCAAAAGTTTTAAAATATTTTCTCTCTCAGAAATCCTTGAACAACATATCAAATATTACTATTAATATATCTCTATTGAGTTGGTTATGAATAACAGTAACTTAATAATTTGAAACGCATTTTGTGAAAATAAAAACTTGCACAAATTAGTAAAAAATTTAGACAGAGTAGCATGCCTGGTGTTGAAATAGCCTAATTACTCTCCCGTAATTACACTTTAAATTCCTACGAGATACCGTAATACTGTAATAATATAAAATAGTCCAGAAAAATATTCAAAGTCCAATAGGAACGGGCGTACCATAATGGTTAGTACTCCGGACTATCAATCCTATTGCCGCAACATCGCGCTTCACACACACACTTGGGATGTGGGATACATTGTAAGAGTGACGGTTATATTGCACTATTCGATTAACGCTTAACAGTTGGCGGTGGATGCTGTTGACTAGTTGCCTTCTCTTTAGTTTATCAGTTCAAAATTAGAAACGGCTAGCATAGAGAACCCTTAGGCAGCTTTGTGTAAATATGTGAAACAAAGATAGATATACTGTTATCCTTGTTTGTTATTGATATATAATTGACGGGAATTATGACGAGAATTGAAGAGTAACGCTAGATAAATTTTAACTTCTAGTTTTATAACTAAAACTCATTTTTAAGTGATAAACGTACAACTGGTATAGTTGGTGTAGAAGTTGTAGACTTACAACAGGAGAAACTGGTGCATGAGTAGTATGTTCACAACTGGAATATTTTCTATTTGTTATCCATAAAGTCAATAACTTTTACAAAAAAGGTATTTAAAAATACACAAAGTAAAGGAAATCGAGTTTTATTTTTTAGTCGTGACGTATTTCTTTAAAAATTCTGAATAATTTGGGACTGATTCACTCATACAGCAGAGAGCAATGGCATTATAGAGTAGCTCTACGTAAAAGTAAAGAAAGTTTCTGGGTTTTAGCCACGAAGATACTACTGCATATAATGCAGTTTAAATCTAAGGAGAGCGAGTGTTCACTCACACCCTCTAACCGATTACACCCTGCTAGGCAGCACTGGGCACCAGACTATAT